GATGGAACAATGGCAGCAGAACCCGGGGATGCCAGAACTTTTGAGAGGGATGTGTGGATGGCTGTAGCATCCCAGGCGGTTCTGAAACATGACATTCCCTTCTCTGCAGATCACTGCCATGAAAGTTAGAGTCTGCGGGGTCGTGAGAATGGCTAGCTCTGGGCTTGCTTGTGCCAGTGATAAGAGGCTGCATGAGTTCAGAAAGAAAACTGAGGTGGATACATAAACTGTTAGAGCACACACACCCTGAGGTCAGGAAGCTGACCGTGTCTGGGGCCACTTTGCTAGTCTGGACATCATATCCACTCCTGGGAAATTTAGAGAAGGTTCAGCCAAGAAGGATTTCAAGGGTTGAAAAATTATAATCTGCAACATAGGCCCTTTCAAACAGCTCTCATTATTTCTTTGATAAACAAAGCTTGAAAGTGCTAAACAACAGTCAGATAAACAGCCCAAATAAGTAAAAAGAAATCAAAATGGAGTAATTGTTGTTTTGCTGTATTTTATAAAGTCAGCATGGTCTGGGTATAGATGTAGCTTACACATACGCACTCAGTTTTACTTTACAGGTTGATGATTATAGCCCATGTATATTAAAGTCAGTTGATGTGTCCTCAGTTGGAGTTTAGTTTCCAACCTCACACAAGATCTTGAACTTAACACCATTTATTCTAGAATACTGGATATTAGATGAAAGCAGTAAAGGTTGGAGGACCTGGGCTCTAGTCTCAATTCCATTACTGTGTCACTGTGATTCAAGAAAATTACTTGGACTCTCTGAGCCCCCATTTCCTGATCAGTAAAGTCGAGACCGTAGGACTAAGCTCATGAGGGTGTAGCTTGAAGGGGGTTTGCTTGCCACAGAGCCTGACTGGCTTACCTATTACATTCTTTCTGCGACAGAAGCCTAGGCCCACATGATAGAGGTGGGGAGCAGTCAATCCAGATTTACTGTGCCTTTCTTTTTGTGCTGAAACCCAGGTAGATGCTTCCTATGTAGGATTCTATTTAATTCTCCCAGCTGTCCCAAGAACAGGAATTGGTGTCCCCATTTTACAGGTAAGACAACTGAGGCTGGGAGTCAGAGCAGCCTGCTTCCGCGGTCTCACGTGTAAAATGGACACCAGGACACCAACACCTGGCAGAGAAAGAGCAGCTGGGATTCAAACCTGCCTTTCTTACACCAAATACAATCTCCTTCCTATCATGCTGCTGCTGTCATTTCTAAAAATTAAATAATAACGAGAGTTAAGTTGGGGGACAGGTTCAGATTCTCAGACTCTTACAGCTCTGCAGATTCAGCAGGGTATGTCTTGAGAGTCTCAATAAGTTCTTTTGGAAATGTTTGATAAAATGTAAGTAGTAAAGACATATAGTCTCTTTAGTAAAGTAGGGGAATATTATTAATTTTTCATTTTTTATTTTAGAGACAGAATCTTGCTATGTTGCCAGGCTGGACTCAAACTCCTGGGCTCAAGCGATCCTCCCACCTCAGCCTCCTGAATCGCTGGGACTACAGGCCTGGCTCCTAATCCAAGTTCTTGATAAAAATTCTTATGTGAAAATATGGACAGAGTGAGTGGCTAAAGAAACTCAGAAACACCCAGAAGCCAAGATGGGTTTCTGGTTAGTAATTTGAATGTTCCCTGAAGTGAGTAATCAAGGAGAAAATTGCTCTTTAAAAAAGTACTTTGCCACGTGTGGCTTTTAATGAGATAGTAATTCGGAACAGAATTAAAAGTTGTACGTTTGTCAGTAGACTTTTTAAGAGAACAGAAGGGCCATGGCTAGCATTGAAACAGGGATCAGATTTGTGACCTGGTGCCTCTTTCAGTGAAAGGTCTTTGACTGTCCACAGATAGGCATTATTTCAGTGTTCACTTCACATTTTAACATGTCTTACATGTGAAAAGCTTACAAGCACTTTGATGTCTACACTATAAATGCCCTTGGTTATAAAAGCAACCAGCATTGAAACCTTAAGGATATTAGGTGAGAAAGTGTCAGATGATACTGCTCCAAGTTGCCCTTGCTAACAGTTCTACCAATTTAAATTCAGTTAAGATCCCAGGATTATGTTTTTTATGGCTAATAAAAGAAATGATTTTTGGCACCCGTAAGCTTCTTGGCTGTTTCTAAATGCTGCCAGAGCTAGGGGGATATTTGTTTTCTCTTTGTCAGGGTGTTTACATGCCCTGGCTTGGGCCATGAGTGAAAATGTATTTGACGATCTCCTGGTCTCACCCCAATCCCTAATGGATGTTTGTCTAAATGACAGCACCCAGTTTAGCACTGTTAACACTCCAGTTAGTGGGCGGGAGAGTGTGGGCTGTGTGTGACAGTCGGGGGCATGCATGGCAGGGTCAGGAACCTTCTGTGAAGGAAACACTTCCTCCTCCAGGATCCAGTTCTGGAAGCACCTTTGTATTTTCTCTGTCTCCCATACTGCCCTAATTTAGGAGTCGGACCATAAATATTCATTGAATCAGAGACTCTCACAACTTCATTATTATTCCTCTAAATATAGTGGTGGACTTTGTCTAAGGAGCCCAGACCTCTCAGCCTTGACAAGAACAAGCTTATGACAATTGGATAGTGCCATCCAGGATTGGGATGGTGGGCCGCCGTCTGGGGTCAGTTCGTATGGTATTATGCAAAACGTCCCTTTGTAGGTTTGATCATGAGCTTGATTAACATAGCAAGCCTCTTTCCAGATGCGTGGCTTCCGTAGGGTAGTTAGCAAAATGCACACGCATTTCTTTTTTGTTCACCATTGTCCCAAGCACCGTATGTGGATGTATTGGATGCAGTGGGGCCTTTCAGGAAACAGCAGGACGATGCTAGGCAGAGCATGACAGGTCTTTAGAGGGACGTGCCTGCTCTAACCCAGGCCCACAAGCAGACGACCGCCTGAAAGGGGGAGCCATGAATTGAGCGTTGACAGTGGGCCACGGCGGTCCGAAGGCTCAGGTGGTTGTCAGCCATAAGTTTAGCTCAGCTCTTTGAGTAATTTGTCACGCCTCGCTCAGCCCCTGCTGGGCCAGCACGTGCCAGCTTAGTGTCAGAGTGCCTGTTCGCCAGACGGCCACTCAGACCTAACGTCCTGCTGTTCCCCGGACCAGCGGCTTGCTGGGGCCATGCACGGAGGGCCGAGCCGTGGCGACAGCCAAGTGCTGTGCAGAATAAGTGTGTTCATAATGAGACGTGAATGGCATTAGTGGGTCCCTCTAGAATTGGGCCTGAGCAGGCGCCTCTCGCTGAGGAAGTTTGGCAGCCTGTTCATTAAGGCGAGTCACCAGGAGTTCAGCCCACAGTTGAGAAGCCAGTTCAGGCTCATGCTGCCCAGCCCTTGGGCGGTTGTGCCCATCTATATAAAAGATCATATATCATTAGAGGGGCCACTTTGGAAATCTTCAAACTCATTTTCCTTGCTTGAGGTTGCATAGAGCAAGCTTAAGGAGAAATTCTGGCAGCACAGTGTCCGGTAATGCTTTCCACGGTGACAGGCATGTCCTGTATCTGTGCAATCCAGTATAGAACCCCTAGTCACGTGCGGCTATTGAGTGCTTAAAATACAGCAAATGAGGCAAAGCAACTGAATTTTAGCTTTTGATTTTAGTTAATTCAAATTTAAAATGAGATAGCCATGTGTGGCGTGTGGCTACTGTATGGGATAGCACAGCCCTAGAATGCCTCTGGTCCCCTCATGGTATGAAAATGTAACTCCAAATATAACCGAAGGAGTAGGGAGAGGAAGAGCCGGCATTTAGAGATCAGTGTGCGTACTTTGCCATAAGAAAGCCGAAGAGTATTTGCCCATTTAAAAACATTTGCTGTATTGAAAGCTGATTGGAAGGGCATAATTGTCACGAACCTCTGTTTTTAAAGAGGCCATTTGAAAAGATAGTTTTAAAATGTAGTGAGAAATGCTAGTTCCTTTTCCTCTTCTGGAGTTGCAAATAATAAACTGATGGTGATCCACATTCCCTGTGTTCCTGGAGAATTAGCATGATTTTCAAAATGACTGAAACATGTCTTTTAATTTTTGCATTGATAATGAGGAAGGGGAAAATGAGACGTCATGCGGACTTCCCCAAGTGTTAATTCATAACGTCGTACGTGCAGCGCCTCCATCCATTGTCGGATTGTTCCGACGTTACCCTGTTATTGGAAGTGCATGATTCACCTTCCGAGGAAACAGAAGCCACACACAAAAGGGGAAGATTTGCTTTCTGCCCTGTGAAAGGCTGCCACACGCAGGGGTCCTATTAAGACAGCTGGAAAGTTGCTTCAGCGTGTTACGCTTGTAGGTTTTATTGGTGACTGGTTTTTGATTACACATTTGAATGCTGTGTGTTCCAGACTGCAGTTTTAATTAAAAGGCAGTAGTCTTTTTTTTAAATTGCGCTGTGCACTCTTGCTAGATTCTCTCACATAGTAGTTCTTATTTTCCAATGTTCACAGCTTGTCTTGGTTAGAGGCTCAGATGCCCCCTCAGAGTGTATCTTCCTAGCCTTCTCTCTTCCCAGTAACTTACATCTTCTTATTTTTAAGAAGTGTCGGCACTCTCATATCACCAAGTTGCTTGAAGTGTCCACTCACGTCAGTAGGCTAAGAATGTTTCATCCATTGAAATAGGACGTAAAAGGTCCCTTATTTGTCAGTGGAAAGAGATGTTATTGCAATCAGTGTCTCCTGTTTTTGTTTAATTCAACCCTAGTGATCTTATGATGTTATTCCGCAACTATTGGCTTACATGTTTTTTAGTGATACTAGTATTGAATGCAGTTAAAGTCTAAGAGAAACTTAGGTCTCAAAACCAGAATTTTATTGTTAATTGTGACTAATATTTACTTTTCTGCAAGATGATAAAGAACCTGCAAGATACTTTTTTTTACACAGAAAAGTAAAAATTGCACAACGGTAGTAGAAGTGAATTCTGTCACTGCTCTGCATTGCCACTTTGCCCGCGCGCTTGTTTCCTTAACCGATTACCGCAGCTATGAAGAGCGAGCTCTGTATCTCGAAGCAATAATTCAGAACCACCGCGAAGTAATGACATTCGAGGATTTCGCAGCCCAAGTCTTTTCTCCCTCTCCCAGCTACTCCCTCAGCGGAACGGGTGAGTGTCTACATTATTCTTCTCTCACGCGCTTAAGATGCATTCGAGCAGCAGATGTACACCTGTTTTTCACAGATAAATGCTTGCAAATTTAAGAAGAGCATTCTCCCTCTGAATCAACTAATGAATATCAAAAGGAATGATGACATTCATTTTAATTTGTTTTGTATTCGAGCTGTTCACTCAGTTCCTTTCTTCAGCTATCCTGTTAACCTTCAAATCTAGCAAGGTTAATGAACTTTTTCTCAGTAATGTGCTCCGGTTCATTCAGGAGTGTGGGTTTCTTGCTGAGCTGGGAATATGTTGTTTAAAAGCGATGCCCAAATCAGTGCTTACTTATCAAAAAAGAGTTCCTCACAGTGGAAGCCGTTGCTACTAATGCTAAATGGGGATTACGCTGCTGAGATATGAGGGTCAGGGATTAATGCAGGAGACATGGAAGGACAGTGTCCTGGGGTCCATCATTACAGCAGTGCAGTGTGCATGTGTCTCTCTGGAGTGGTCTGTGTCATGTGGACAAGCCGCCGACTGGAGCAACACCTGGTGTGGAACCCGTTTAGAAACTAGCTTACAATAATTTTTATTTATTAGGGCCAATGGAAAATTGCAAAAGTTTCCATGGATTTCCTGTTTTTAGGTTTTTGTTCTTTTTATATTTTCAGTTTGGGGGGAAAAATACATGTACTGCCACTTAAACAGATTATATGATTACCGTGGATTTTTTCAAATAATAGAATTATTACTTGTACATTTCTGCATATAATTACAGAATAATTGCCTTTCAGAGAGCAAATGGGATATTTAGCCAATGCATGTTGAAATTCTCAGTGAGAAGCTTCCTTCATCTTCCACTGCTTTAGATGCAACTGTTAGAGTGCTTAATAGATTTCTAACCTGCGTCAATTGTCTCTGAACACTGCCTTACTTCTCCTATTCTGACTTGTTAACAAATATCTTACACACAAAGTGAAAAAAATTAAATCCAGTGAAATAAATCACTTACAAATAAAATCAGCCATGCATCATTGTTTAACATCGCTGGCCTCAATCCTTGCCTCTCGGAGCTTTGTTGCGAGATAAGAGGGAGAGGCACGCACTTGCGCAGGGAGCCAGGAGCAGCAGGCAGAAGGCTTGGGAGATAAGCAGGCTGGCAGAGGTGCGGGAGCCGCGCGATTTGCATAATCACGCCTCTGCTTCCTGGTGAGGCGTCAAGGAACACTGGGATGGCCTCTATTGATCTTTGTCGAACTGGAATACTAAGCAACATGAGAAAAGCTTATAACTTAAAGCTTTGATTAATGTTTCTTACATTAAAAAAGTGGAACAGCTGTGAATTGAATTCTTTTATACACTCTGCCAACATTCTATCTAAGACAAAAAAAAATCCGTTTCAAGGGAAATGAAGATTTCATACTCAGCCTGCCTAGAGATTTTAAATCGTTTCTAATTTTTCAGTGAAAGAATATGAGGGATCTGTAGCAAAGCTAATTTTAAAAAGATCTCATTCAGTTTTTTCCCACCCTCATGAGATTATTCTCGTCTTCATAAGGACTTGATTTTTCAGTGCCGGTTGGTTTTTTTTTCTTTTAGCTCTTGAGAAGCTTTTTATTTCTTAAAATTAAAAAAGTAAATAATAACTAGGTATTTAAATTCCTTAACTCAACTGTTGCATTCTTAAGATTATTAAGATGTTATCAAAATGAATAACGATGGACTTTTTTTCTATCTATATTTTAGCCTCTGTGTAAACTAATTTGATCTTTTCCAAATGTCCATAATTACTTAAACCAATTGAGATGAGTTGAGTGAGATTCTAGGAGTAATTTGAATTTTTAAGAACTCTGCCTGGAGAGAATTGTTCATAGGCTTCTTCCGGAAAGTCATATTTTTGAAAATTACTTAGCAGAGTAAAGATTCTGACAGCATGTGAGGGTGGGCATTGGAACTTTTATAAAAGGAACGTGAAACCAAACATGGAATATCAAGACAAGTGCTACTGCCTCTGCTTTTCAAATTATTAACATCAGTATTACATTTCATAGTGTTCATGGTTTAAGATATTCAGTGTTGAGTGGGAAATATTTTAGACATCTATCATACTTATCTTTAAGTGTGATTTTTAAGTCTGGGCATAATGTTCTGTTTTAATTCTTTGCATATCAGCTCATAACGCTGAGTAGGAAGGAACTAGATATAAACTTGATTTGAACTGAAATGTGGGGCAGTGCAGTGGGGACGGAGCATTTCAGCACCAGAGACAAGCACGTTTTCAGAAGCATCTTCTGATTTACATACTGGCTTCGCTTTTGAGGAATCCCTGTCCCCTATCTGTTACTACTTCTAAAGATGAAAACATTTTTCATTTGTTTACACTGTTATGTTCTTGGGGCAAGTACAGTCAAACCCAGATGAGCCAGCCAGCTTAAACTAAGAAATTGAGGTGAAGTCTGTTCTTCCAAGCAACAAGCCAACTGGAAAAATTGACCCTGAGCGGCTTAAGCTCCCACAGTGCACTTAGGACCCAATCAGACCTCATCTCTGGCCCTCAGTGTCATCAAAGCAGGGCCTTGGGCTTGGACTCACATGCATATGCACAATCTGAGGAATTAGGAGCTCCTAGGTTTTCTTTGTATCCTCACCACAAGGGGCTTTATTATTAATGAAGAGGGAGCGTCACCTGAACACTGCATTCATTCCACACTGTATTGGTAGCAGCAAGCTAGAAAGCGGCATGTAGCCCCCACTTCTAGAGGGAAAGCCTTTAAGTCTGAGGTCTAAGTGGGAGATGTGCTCAGTGGGAGTGGCCTGTGCCCGAAGGTTCCACTGTTGGAAAATGCCCTTTGCCTCCGACTCTCCGGGTTCAGGTGCTGTTACCCATCCACCCAACGAGCCCTGGAGGGCGGTTTGGCCAGGTAAACAGGGTTCCATTCAGGATGCACCCTCAACCACACTTGGTGGTGTAGTGGCTAATATATGAGTGCTCAGCTTTTTTCAAAGAGCTTTCAAAACAAAATCTATTTGCCTAATCAGAAAACATTTTTAAAAACCGTTGTCTACCTTGTATCTATTCCATCCGTTACTTGTCTTGATAACACCTGACATGTAATAGATATTTCAACTACTTTTTTACTTAGCCCTATAGTTTACCTTCCTTTTTTGACCAGAAATAAATAATCTAAATAATCTAAAAGGTAGCCACTATTAAAATATTGGATGCAATTAACATATATGTTTCCTGCATAAATACATTTATATACACATATATGCACATATACATTTCTCTCTCACACACACACACGCACACACACATATTGGGGTGGGAGACTAAATTTGTGTTTTCAATCATATCCCTAAGAAAGAGGGACCAGCAGAGAGGCCGGGAAAGGGTTAACTGGAATGGTCACCCTCCACTGCTGGGAGCAGCAGAGAGGCCGGGAAAGGGTTAACTGGAATGGGCACCCTCCACTGCTGGGAGGGACTGATGTAATCACTGCAGCTCACAGCCAAGTGCATCTGTTCACCATGAGGTCATTCTTCTGCATGCTAATGATTTGGAAAATCAAGTCTAGTGTTTGACATTATCGAAAAAGATATAAATAGTGTGAATCTTTACTTTTTAGAAGTTGCTCTTATAAAAGAGAAAAAAGAAACTTTATATTGGGCCTGAGATTTTTTTTTTTTTTTCAGAACTGCCTTAAAGATTGTGTCTGGGTCTTAAAATCTTGGAGGAATCCACTTGTGTCTGTTGATAAATCAATCCCCAAATCACTATTACAGTCACAGCTAGCAATCTGGTAGCCAAGGGCTACAGGTATGTCTTATTTAATATCTAATTTTAAGAATTTCCAAGTGCCTTGGTCAGAAGTTGATAAAGGTGGGTTTTTCCCAAAGAATGTTCAAAACCAAGTTAAATGGGTGGTTCTTCTCAAAATACCCAAACTGACTGGTGTTTGCTGAAGATGCCAACACTATGTATGATTCCTTTCTCCTTCAATATTGCTATAGAGAGCCAGCAGAGGGAGCACAGATCTCTGTTTATTTGTTAGCCCTGCATAAACATAGCGTTTAATTTCTCCAAGATATGGTCAGAATACTTCCTCCTTCATGATAGGCTAGATTGTAAAGGCTCCAGGATTTAGAACAAGTGAGAGAAAATTCCTCACTATGCTTCACCAGAGTCTGCCACTTTCAATGTAGGTCATATTTGGAGCTTAAACCAGATTAGTCTGAGTCAGTCTTAGGATGCCACTGCCATTCCTGCTATTGCACAAAACAGCAAACTTTCATCTTTTACACAATTGCATGGACGTCCTTGTGGAAAGGCTTATTATACAACTTACCTAATGAAAAATACTTCTGTAGTTTTTCTTCTACAACACAGTCATTGTGTTAAGTTTGCAGAACCTTTACCAGAAGACTATGCCTGGTGTCACTGAGTCATTTTGGTGGCCAATAAAATCTTCTCCTAAAACTGCAGATGGAGGCGCTCATGTTACACATTCACCCCAAAGCAAATCTGCGCTGTAGACACTACATAAACTCCTCTTAGAACTCACCAGCCTTTGCCCAAAGGGGTATGGCTGCAGCCAGCTTTTGCTTGCTAAGACCTCCACACCATATGCAGGCTTGTCATTCTGCATGCAGTCCTGACAGGTCATCTTCCTTGGCTCTTTCACTGGGCAGTTAATAATCAAGTTAACTCCTAGAAACAACACAAGTAAATCCTACCCTAAACCCCCAAAAAGAGTTTCCCCGCTCATTGAAAGCATAGTCATGTGACAGATTCATTCGTATTCCTTCTCTCCCTGTTAAAGTGGTCTTAATACGGTTTTAATTAATAGCACTTCTTTTGAATTGTATGTGTTCAGCTTCCCCATAACTTTGCTGAAGCCAACAAAGGACATCATAGAATGTTGAACTAGAAGGGACTTCAGAAAAGGTCATGTCTAACCCCATTATATTAATTTTGAGCAAGCTGAAGACCAACCCATGAAGGGACCACCAAAGGTCATGGGCAAGTTGGAATCAGGGCCAACCCAGCCTTCACCTCCCATTCCAGATGGAAATGCCAGCCCTGTGCCCACCCTGTGGCAATAATCCCATAAGCAGAGCCATAGCTACCAGCTCTTTATTAATACTAAAGGCCAGAATCAAATTTTACTCTATTCACATAATCCAGAAGTTTTCCCTTTTTTGAAACAGGATCTCACTCTGTCACCCAGGCCTGGATTGCAGTGGTGTGATCACAGCTCACTGCATCCTCCACCTCCCAAGCTCAAGCTATCCTCTAGCCTCAGCCTCCTGAGTAGCTGGGACTACAGGCATGAGCCACCACATCCAGCTAATTTTTGTATTTCTTATAGAGACAGGGATTGGCCATGTTGCCCAAGGCTGGTCTTGAACTCCAGAGCCTCCCAGAGTGCTAGGATTATAGGTGTGAGCCGCTGCACCCAACCCAGAAGTTTTCGTTAAATACAAGTCATCTTATATCACCGTCTATTCAGTAGCTCAGCCATCCCACTCAGCACCCTCAGCACACTTGGCTGTAGCTGGCTACAGTGTTGCCGCACGTCCTATAGACAACAGCCTTGCACAGATGTTTCTTCCACCCCCATAATCCCTTCTGGATGCAGCCCAAGTTTTCCCTCACTCATAACTGGCTCAGTTCTGACCACTTTTGCTTGGATTTTTTTCCATTTACGATGTATTCTTCTTGGAAAGATGGGACCACATTGATAGAAAGCTTTTTTACCAGCTATAATTCCATCACCAAGACCCAGTGGTGCTCAGCTCTGGCTGCATATTGGAATCACCTGTGAAGCTGTAAAGATACCCATACTTGAGTCCTTCCACTGATTTGGATTTATTGGTCTGAGTGTGGCCCGAGCATAGAATTTAAAAAAAAAAAAAAAACTGAGGTTGTTTTAATATGCAAGCAGGACTGAGAACCACTGCCCTAAATCATCTCTGTAATATTTAGGTCTTCATTTTAGTGCCATCTAACTTGTGATTATGTATATCTTGATTTTCCCTAGCATATGTAAGCCTTTATCCTGTGTGTGTATGTATTCTATCCATAATGGACTGTGAATTCCTTAGAGAATGGTGCATGGGATCTCTTTCCTACGTGGAACAGGATTGAATAGAAAGGAGGGCAGAAAGGAATCAGACTGTTGCTTTAAGCAGCACAGGTGTGTCTCTAGACCACAGATGTGTGGGCCTGATGCAGAATGCAGAGCAAATACATGTAATTATGTTTCATCTGTCCCCTCCTTCCCAGTCTCTTAGTGAAAGTGGGCCACTGACAAGCAATCTGATCAGAACCCGTTGTGGAGAGAGGCAGGGGAAGCCAAGAGCCGGCAAATCCACAGACCAACTAACTGAAACTTGATTCAAGGTGCTTTCATAGATGGTCTCGAGGGTTTTGAAGGGAATTATTGATCGCCCTGCTTAGCACCATTTTAGGCTTCGTGCTTCTCCATCCCTTTGTTCTTTTGAAACTTTTTACCGTCCTCGGTGTCAGCTCTGGAAGGGGAAGGAAAGAGAGGAGACAAGCATTCTTCTCATTTGCTTGGCTAGAAGAGCATTGCTGCTACCTGTCGGATGTTACCATCTCTGACGTGGCTCTCCTCGCCCTGAGCAGGACTGTGCAGGTCACTTCAGGCAACACGAAATAAGGCTGTGGGAACCTCATGCAGGCCTGTGTCTCTCCTTCCCTTGTGAAGCCTGAAGTCTTGTTGGAAAAAAGCAGAGTCATGAGTCACAAAAAGACACTCATGAGTCACAAAAACGGCTATTTATTAATAAGCCCAGATAAGTTTGCTCCAAACTATAACTATATGTCAAAAAGCCAGCCAGCCTGAGATTTCCCTGAGATGGGCCATGCCATTTGCCTTGTGACTCTGAGGAGAATGAAAACGTACCTCTTGTGTATTAGATATTCTGCTAAGCATCCTGCCGGCTGGATTGGAACCTTCTCACATTGCCTAAGGTCTGAGACTGGAAAGCCCATGGACAAGAAGCATAAGATAGAGGAGAGTAAATTGAGAAAAGCAGAGAGGAAGAAACCACATGTTTCAGAGCCACTGTGGGGACAGTGACAACTCCTGACAACCCCGGGGCTGGTGCTGGGGAATATTCATAGGTCCCCAGAATAAGAAGTGGCCTGAGGTCGTTCACTCTGAAGTGCTGGCCTTGCACTGAATCTGTTCCTCTGGCAGAATTCTGAATGTGCAGCTTTTTCTGTGAAATGCTGCATGAGGTTCTGGGTTCGCAGACCTTACAGGGGTTTCAGTGCAGGTGGCATCTTCCTCCTGCCTGACTGCTAATTACAGCTCAGGGAACGCATTAGTAGTTGCCAAGAGATGGCTGGCAGGTACCAGGAATTTTTCTCAGAGACAGTTTTTGGAAATGACTCTTAATGAAAGTTTATTCGAAATAACCTTGAAAATTTGTTTCAGAAGAACCTGGAGCTCCCAACGCCCCGGGTTCATATTCCTTGCGGACTGTGACTGTGGCCCTCCAGTCCTCCTGACTCAGCAGCTGGTGTGTGCACAACCTCAGCCGCAGAGGGGCCTCCTAGAAGGCTCAGCGGTTTTGCTTAAATTCCTCTTTAGCAACAACCAAACGAAGCAGAGGCCAAATGGAACCTCTCTTACAGTTAAGTCTTCTGACAGAAAGAAGGCAGTATTTCATAATTTCCTTTTCCAGAAAGATACAGGATGGTAATAGGACCGGTGACTAGCACGATTTTCTCTTTATAGAGAAAAGCCGGTACCTTTTTACCCATTAGCCTGTAAAGGCCCTCAAATGGCTGGAGGAATCAAATCCCTCAACAATGGGAAACATGGCCGTCCATTTTGAAGTCAATAACTTTATGCATTTACAGCACTGATGTGGCCAAATTCACTTCTCGGCACATAAGAAACCTAGTAGCATCATGGTGGCGAACGTCAGGAAAGAGTAGGGAAACCCTATTTTGTGACCACTTTGAGAATATGAGACAATCAAATCCAGATGCATGGAGGACACGTTCCACCTACCTGTGCCCCACGCAGAGGCTCCTCTTGCCTTCCCCACAGCACTCAGCTGTGACCTCCACCATCCCAGCGTCCGTCTTCTCCTGTGTAGAACTGTGTGATCTGTGGGATTGCCTGCGGATAAGGAAAAGCAATCACGGGTCTGGCTTGGGAAGGTTCCATTCCCCCATACCCCCTATCTCAGGCAAAACAGAAGGCACGTACACCTTGCCTTGCCATTGCTGCTGAATGTGTTTGGGCAGACCCTGCAGTCAGCATGCATCCCAGAGCCTGTACGCAGTCATTAGGGAAGCCCTGCTCCCTAGCTACATCCCAAGGGTACAGAGAAGCAGCCGGAGAAACAGCGCAACTCCAGTTAATACCACAGCCTCCAGGTGACATCTGAGCATGCCGCTTCGTGAGACCAGGCGCTCCAGACCAGGGTGACAATCGCTGACCCAACAGCATCACACGTGAGAGTCCCAGAGGAGAAAGAGATCACCGCAGAGAAGGAAGAAGGAGGCCAACAGAGGGAATCTGCAGCCCATGAGGCTGACTCCACTCTTTCTCCCAGTTACCCAAAGCTAGCAACTTGCTAGAGGCCAAATTGAAATATTAAAACCCAGGTCCATTCGAGACCTGGGGACACAGGCACACACCTTTGCTACAATTTAAATAGATGGGAAATGCAGCTTCACTCCTCAGAGCATCTCATAAAGCCCACGAATGTTGGTTTTCAGATATTCATCCCATAAATGCTTACTGAACACCAAATATGCCAGATGCAGAGATGGGCAAGATGGACAGCAGCCCTCCCTTCACTAGAGCCCCCCTTCCAGACAGGACAGGAGACAGTAGTGTCTGCCGTCAGCAGCTGATGCGTGCGGAGGAGAGAAGACAACAGGAAAAGGGTCTCAGAAGTGCCACTGAGAAAACCCAACACACCTGGGGTGGGCGTGCACTTGACAACAGAGGATCAGAGCAGGCCTCCCTGACAAGGAGGGAGGGTCAGGAAGGAGCAGGTGAAGGGGCCTGAGGCAGGGGCTTTCCCGACAAGGAGCCCAGCCTGGTTAAAGCTGAGCTAGCCAGGGGTGGGCAGGAGGAACAGGAAGGCCAGAGTGGCCTTGCAGGCAGAGGGCGAGATCTTGGCTCTTGCTCTGGTGAGGTGGGCAGCATGCAAAGGCTGTGAAGCAGCAGAGTCCTGTGAAATGACTCTTCTACAAAAGTCAGTCTGGCCTCAGTGGGTAGGGTGCGCTGTGGGGGTGGGGGACGACTTCCATGACCTTTTATTTGCCATGTATTCCCATCTCCGGGCACGCAGCAGGCATGCCATCTGTGTCTGGTGAATGAATTGATGTTATGCTCATACAAGACCATAAGAGGTGTTCTGCCTGAACATTCCCTGGGGACACTAGAGGGGCCCTCAGTGATGCCCCCTCACCCCAGCACCACAGAACACAGCCCGTATCCTGGATTGCCCAGACAGGAAGAACATGGAGCTCGGCCACATGTCCCACCCTGCCTTCAAGGCCCTGCAGACCCCTGTGATGTCTGGTGGTCATGAGCACAGGTGTGTATGAAGAATCGTGCATATGGCCATTCCCACTACACAGAAAGTGACTTCAAGAGACTTTAAACAACTCAGTGATGCAGAAGGGCACAGATGGAAGGCTGAGGCTCCCTGGCATTCGTTCCCTGTTACAAAAGTGGTCTCCAGGACTCTCTGTGAACTGCAACCATTCTTTATGTATGTGTAGAGATTTGCAATTTACTGCACGCTTTCCTCAGGGTCCCCCTTCCATCAGGCAAGATGTCTCTCTCTGACAGTCGAGGAATGGAGGCAGGCTGGTTTTTCTGCCACCAGGTCACTGGTCATGTCCAGACCAGGGCTTGAGCACCTAGGCCTCTCTGTTCTCAGACAGGACTCATTGCTCCACCCTCCAGCCCCTGCCTCTCCCTGCCTGCTGTGGGGACCCACCCACAGGAATGAACAACCCAGTGGAGGGGAAGAGCCCTTCTTCAGCAGCAATGGCAAAACGTTCCTCCCCAACGGCAGAAAGGACTGTTTTCTAGAATGTATGTCCTGTACTATTTGTACAGTGGCAAAGGTACACCCACCCACTTTGGCACGGATAACTGAGAAATTTAACTAAAGGGTTGCCTACTTTACAATTCAAATGGAGCACTGCAAATAATTCACATATAGAAAGTATCTTAATTATGGGCCAGAATTGCTTTCTGAGGACAAGACGGTCTTTATCAGTAAAACTAGCAGGCACTTCCATTGTTTCTGCAGTGTTTGCTCAGGCAGCTCAGACAAATGCCTAGAACTCACTGTCCTCTCACAATCACCATAGACTGAGCTGCCACATTTTCTGGAGCTGTGGATCATTAGGGAAATTTTTAAAAAGTAGTTCTGAGTGGAGCACGCACTCCCAGTGTGTCTTGGGACAAATCACACGATAATCCTACGTCACCTCCCCAGTCAATCCCGAGGTGTTTTAAGACAGGTCAATTCAAGTTAGGATAAACTTGGGAGACAACCAGGGAAGCCTGGGTGCCTCCAGGGAACTTTTTCCCTGAAATCTTGGAGCCATTTCTGTTGTGTCACTTTTGAAATCATGAGAGCAGCAGTGCCACCCAGACCACCTTCTATTCTATTTTGCCATTTTAAAAAACAGCTTATTGAGATCTGATTCACATATCCTGCAGTTCAGCCGTATGAAGTATACAAGTCGATGTTTTTGGTCTATTCATAATTTTGAGCAACCATTACCACAATCAAATTCTATAACATTTTCCTCCCCTCTTTAAACAGCCTGCCAATCAATAGTCAATCCCCCTTCTCCCCACCACTCCTCAACCCTGAACAACCACGAATCTACTTTTGTGTCTATGGACTGCCCATTCTGGACATTTGATATAAATAAAACCATCCCATATGTGCTCTTTGGTGGCTGACTTCTTTCTCTTAGCATATTCTCAGGGTGCCTCCATGTGTAGCCCATTCCATTTATTTTTATTGCCAAATATTCCACCGTACAGATAGAATACATTTTGTTGGTCTGTTCATCAGTTGATGGACATTTGAGCTGTTTCTACTTTTGGCCACTGTTAATTTTTCTGCCTTGAATGTTTGGGTCCTGTGTGGCCATTTGCGCACGTGAATTCAGTCTGGTAAAGTACAGAGCCTTCCCATGGCTAAGATGCAACGGAAATCTTGGTATTTATGTTCTGTGAGAGCGAGAGGGTCTGGAAACCTTTCTTAATGATGGCCTAACAACAAGTTGGCACCAAGCTATAAATTTTAAATGTATAATTTAGTTTAATTTAGTCATAGATTCATACGAGTACATTATAGTCACGAAGAGAAAGAAAAAATGCCAGGAATTTTTTTTTTTTTTTACCGATGATCCACCTGCTCACTTAGCCCCTGCACGGGAGCAGCGTGCATACAGGCACACACTCCATGCACTTTCCCTTCCTCCCTCCCTTCCTGCCAGTCCAGCTGTCCCAGCTTTCAGCTTCTGAACCAATGTTGATGGGCAAGACCAACAACCAGAAAGATGAAGCCAAACCAGGAGTTAGAGCCGGGACCAGGACACAGCAACTGCTGCTGGATTGGAAATACTGGAAGCCATCCTTGGGCCATTTGGAGATGTTAATTAGGCTGGCTAATTCCCACTGGCCTTGGGTTGCCAGTGTTGAGTGTGTGGGCTTACCCCATCCATGCCTGCACCTGTTCCCTTCCTCAGAGCCATTCCAAGGGGCCTGAATAGCCCAGACAGCTCTCTGATCCCCCACTCTGTCTGCCTTCCTGCTGGTAGGATATTTAGCACTTGCTTAAAGCTGGAACCCTGGTCCACTGTTTCTCTCCCTCATCCCTGCCAGCTCTCAAAATCATTCTCTTTCCTAATTATCTTGAACCAGTTAATCATTCTGCACACTGACTGTTCAGTAACCAGGATCCAGGGACAGGCAGCCGCATTTCTTGTCTGACCCTGCCCAGCATCATCCCAGGTGGCGGTCCTGGAGGGCAGCCTTTCCTCAGAGGCAAGAAGCTTGGTTCGCAGCCTTGCTCTCTTGCAGTCCCGGTGAGTACAGCTGGAAAAAGCATGCCATAGAAAGGCCCACCATTCCGGGCACACCTCTGCTAGGCAGAGCCGCATAGAACACAGCACATCTCCAGCCAGCCTCTTGTTTCCTGTGCTGCTTTAAAGCCCTGTTGATACCCAGAGTATCGGAGAAGTCACTCAAGGCGAAGAAGCAAGACATCTTTCCTCAGAAGTGACTTCTGGATTTCCCCAGCCCAAACTCTGTGTCAGAGCTGCCAATTGGCCACAGTTTGGCCTCTCAGTGTCTGGGTTAAACTGTTAAGGGCTGTCCCTGAGGAGTCTCTCTTAACTGCTCTTAGATATGAGTGGGGCTGGCTTCGATTCCCAGCACCACAAATAGGTAAAAACAACTTTGAAGTTAAGATGCACATTAACCCTATAACCCAGTGTCACACCTTTTTTGTTTTTTGAGACAAAGTTTCGCTTGTTGCCCAGGCTGGAGTGCGACAGCGTGATCTCAGCTCACTGAACCTCCGCCTCCCGAATTCAAGTGATTCCCCTGCTTCAGCCTCCCAAGTATCTGAGATGACAGGCGCCTACCACAACACCCTGCTAATTTTTTTGCATTTTTAGTAGAGATACGGTTTCACCATGGTGGCCAGGCTGGTCTTGAACTCCTGACCTCAGGTGATCTGCCTGCTTTGGCCTCCCAGAGTGCTGGGATTACAGACATGAGCCACTGCATCCAGCTGTCACAACCTTTTATCTATTATCACCCACCCCCCGGGGAACTTCTGAGGCATTTTGGTTTCCCAATTTGTCCCCTCCCCTGAAACAGCACAGAAACACTGTGTATCTGTTTACTTGCAGGACTTAAACCTGTGCTGCATATATTAAAGAGCAGGCTATTTTGCCACCCCAAGAGGTGATATCCCCTCGTTACGCAGGCTATAACTCCTCTCCCAGAGCCTCCAGAGGCAGCAGTTTCATCTGCTTTGGTCACCACTGTAACCCAGAGCCTAAGACAGTGCCTGGCACGTATCTGCTGCCCATGTGACACAAGGGTGGGACAGGTAGGTTTTTGTCTCTCCCCTGGCCCCTCAGGCACCAGGTCCCTCCTGGCCCCTTCCCATCCCCCATTCCAAGCACAGCCCCCTCCAGGTGCCCTCCACACTGCCCAGGTTGGTCAGTGCCCTGTGCATATGCCAGGGATGTATCAGGAAGCTGACAGCTTACTTCTCTGCTCTACGACTGGAACTCCACCCTTTGGGAGCACTGCCATGTGTCAAGGGCAAGTGACATTTGAGCCCCATGGAATAATCAAGGCAGCCCCAACTGTCTCTGTCTTTGCATCTCCTTAACTCAACCATGGATTGGCAGTTACTGAGACATTCTTTGTGGTCCAGCACACCACACCAGGCTGCGTCTGGGGACGCACAGGAGAGGGGCAACCCAGTCCTCATCAGCAATTACAAACAAGTCCTCCATTGTTAGCTGCGCCATCTGCTTTCTTGGTTTCTACCAATCGGGTGCCTGTATGCACAGCATAACCAGGGCTGAGGGGCTGCAGGGGAGTGAGATCAAGGAGACCCTTCATAAAGAGACCCCTTGCTCACATTGGAGGGTGTCAGTGGCGCGGTGCTCTAAAAGCCAAGCCTCGTCAACTCAAGGAAGACCCATGCAGAGATGCTGTATGTTTGCTCTCTTCCATGAGAGGAAATGGGGGCCCTGCAGCATAGAGCATTGGGGGGAAATCAGAAATCTAAATGATTAAATCATCCAGAGGATCCACGGAAAACATTCTAGTCTGTGACCAACAATCAGCGGCAGCCCAGAACCTCCTGTGCCCAAGAAGCACATCCAAGTCTGGAGAAGAAACAGCGTTAACAGTGGTTGGAAATCAGACCAAGGATCATACCCGACCCACACTCAGTTGCCGATCCAGAATTTCCTAACCCTGAATAATTTTCTTGGGAGAAGGGGACAATTTTCATCAATAGATTGGAAAAGATGTCTCCATAGCAGTACGAATTTCTTTCATGGAGCCTTGGCTAAGAGAATGTTAGTGGTCACCTCCTGATGGCCACTGGAGCCACCGTCTTAGAAACTTGCCCCGTCACTGTGCCAGCCTTGGCAATCCTGGCGGAGCGGGTCAGTAGAAAATCCACGTTTACAGCTGTGACTGTGCAGACCATGGCCCACACCACTGATAAATGTCCTTTGTCCAGATTTGATGCTCGTCTAGTGGCACGGACTTCAGGAGAGTTGGGGGGTGCTGAGAGTTCAGAAACTACTGCCTGATGCGGAAAGAGGGTGCGTTCGCCAAAGGAACCCCCATAGGAATAGGATCGTGGAAGGGATGGAAGAACCTGCCACAAAGCACAGAAAAGCTACGATCCCCCTCGGTTCAGAGTGACTACTGAGACCCTGCTGCTCTGGGGTGAGAGAGACCCTTATGGTCGAATTGTGCGGCTGCAGGGTCAGCTCCCAAGCTTTCCTCTGCGCAGGATGCTGCGTGTCCCCTCCCTGGGGACTGTCACATTGCAGCTGACACCAGTATTGAATTAACATACTGTATAACTCAGAAATCTGTAAAATGAAACTGGGAGACATGTAAACTTGCCCACTAGGGGATTTCAACTATTTTTTCAGGCCATCCATTGAATTTCAAATGCTTGTCTTGAAAACACTTTTATCTTTGTATTTTAGACAAAATCAGTTGGGGAAAGGGTGGCGAGCAGGAAAAGGATATAGCAGTCAGTGCTGTCCAGCATCTGTAGGGCTCCCGACAAGGTCTGCAGGCATAGATCCTAGGAGTTTTAATGTCTCTCTCATTTCACATTTGTAAGCATGACGTCGGCTTGTATTTTGTCCTATCAAGTAGAATTTTCAAGTAAATTTTCAGTTCTTACTAATCAACAAGGCTGCAAGAATGCTTGGGCAGCTCAGGGATACGTGTGTTATTAGCACTGTGTTAATTATCAAGTTGGAGCTGTGGGGGTGCTGTGTTTGTATTCACTCGATTTTGTGTTCTTTCCCTTCAGATTAAAACACGTAAAGGTCTCATTACAATATTTGAGCAAGGTAAGACAGACACTTCAGTGGATTTGTCCAGCCACCCTGCTTTGGGGAGGGGGTGGGACTTTAACTGGCCACCGTCCAGAGTGGATCCCACCACAGTGCTCCTCACCCTCTGGGGCCTTCCCCTCCTGAGGGGCCCTGCCCGAACTCCTGCCCCTGCATGTCTGCGCTGCCCAGGGAAGCCCAGCCTTGCCTTTCTTCTGCCCCTACACTCGGGGAGGAATCCGACACCAACACCTGCCATCCCGGAAAATGTCTTTGTCGCCCGCCCTTTTGTGTGTGGGGCTGCAGGGAGCGGTGGGCGCTGGGGCCGCCCCCTCTTTTTGTTGCCGGAGCCTGGAGGAGCAGGGTCTTGAGATGGGCTGATAAGACACGGCACGTGCTGGGCCGGCCTTTGACCGCCAGCCTTAATGGAGGCTTCCGAGGCCTCCACGAGGGGAGGGCCGGTTGTGGCGGGGGCTGCTGAATGGAACAGCTGGGGAAGGAAAAGCAGACAAAAGCTGCAGGAGCGCAGAGGGCGGAGACCCAGGGATCGGCTGCGGTCTAGGACCCAGAAGACAGGCTGGCCATGGCAGGTGTGACCTCCCCAGCCCGCCTTTCTGTCCTGGGTCTGGAGTCCAGGCCCTGCCCAGAGCACTCTGATGGATGGCAGCTACCTTGGCAGGGCTGTCTGAAAACCCTGTCCCACGCTGCCCGGGCTGCACCACCTCCCAGGCTCACAGGTGGAAGGAGAGCAGTTGGTAATGACAAGGACCATGGCAGTGCCATTCACAGGAGAGAGCAAGTGAGCGAGCTGCCGTTGATGAGCCTGTCACCCACAGTGGAATGCAGGGCACAGACACCAGTCACTTTGTCTCAGTAAATATGGAAATACGATGTCAGGGTCTAGATGTATTGGTTTATCCAAACCTTCACCCCCGTCTGCCAGGCAGGGCTATTGGACCTGCAGGCTGGAGGAGCAGCCGGCACCACAGCCCGCCGACCCTCCAGCCAGCTGCCCTTTCTCTTCCCCTCCACCATGGCTTAAGCCCAGTCCTGGTATTGTCCCAAACTGGGCTCACTCGTGTCAGCCCCAGCAGGTGACACGAGCCTCAAGAGTCCAGGTGCTCGTGTCAAGATGGAACAGAGCAGGGTTGTACAGTCCCCTCCCAGCAGGGCACTTTGCTGTGAAACTTGTATTTGCTGAGACCCCCATGTCCAAGCATGTCCTCCTGTCTGCCACCAAAGTGGGGAGGTGAGGTTTGAGTGTCCTGTGAAGAGGCAGTGCGAGTAGAGTCATACTCAGAGCTGCAAGTGGACGGACATGTCATATCAGGAAGGTGGCCCTACCTTGTGGCCTGCCTGCCCATCCAGCAGCTGCCGCCTCCCACGGTGGGGTACTGCAGCACAAGAGGCCAGTGCAGATGAGAAAGTGCCAGCAGAAAGCCGGGCACCAGAGGCATGTGTAGGGCACTGTGGCACCGGGCCCAGCCCAGCTGGAGGGGTTGCTTTGCCCTTTACCCCCAGCCATGGGGTCCCTGCTTTCAGGTGCACAGGCCCCCTTCTCTGTAGAGTTTCTTGCTGTTCACCGGGCTCACTCAGCAGGACAAAGCTGGCTTCCTCTGTCCATCTGCAGGAACTTGAGGTGCACCCCTCTTTCCCTCATCTTCCCTGGGTGTGTGGGTGGGGTAGAGGGACTAAAATGTCTTCCTTCGAATCCAAAATTAGCAAAGGTTCACTCTTTCTTTTTGAATCTCACTTTATATATTTTATTTACTTGCTTTTTTTTGGCTACGTTATTCCAGTCAATCTGATTACCGTAGTAAGCTGAGTTGTTGGGATTAGAATATTATCTGGGATTAAATCCAACGTGTTCTCTCCTGCTGCACCACAGCCTGGATCAAAGGCCAGTGCCCACCCACCGCCAGCTACAGCGGTGTAGAGAGCTGCCTTGTAACAGTCCGGCCTCTCTCGTGGATGGTGGTCTAGTGGTGTTGCCTTCGTCAGAAGCAGCCTGTTTTTGTTTTATGTTTTGGGGTTTTCGTGTGTGGTGTTTTTTTTTTCTTTGTTTTTTTGGTTTTTTTGAGACTGGGTCTCACTTTGTTACCTAGGCTGGAGCACAGTTGTGCCATCACTGTTCGCTGTGGCCTCGACCTCCTAGGCTCAAAATCCTCTCACCTCAGCCTCCCAAATAGCTGGGACTATAGGTGCGGACCACCACACCTGGATAAATTTTGCATTGTTCTTGTAGAGATGGGGTTTCACCACGTTTCCCAGGCTGGTCTGGAACTCCTGGGCTCAAGCGATCGCCCACCGTGCCTAGCTGCAGCCTGTTTTAAAGATAAGAATAGTGAGCCTTCCCTGTTTGCCTGACCTTACTGAACCTAGAAGAAGGGAGGCAACAGGGAAGCCCCTGGACTCTGAAAGTACAGAACTGGGCCAGGTTGCTACCGTAGGTCCAAGCA